TGATCAAACTTCCCTGGTACATTTTTAAAAACAACACATTGAGAACTACAGGTGCAGGCTGGCTAGGCCTGGTAGGACACAACTCTGAAGGGAGTGTTGTACATCTGAATAGTACAGTTGATTCCCCATGCAAAAATGCCAGCTTAGGGCTGTCCCAATCGGGATGTTACCAGCTTTGTTCACGTGGGGATTTCAGATCTCCCCTTCCATGTGGGCTAACACTGGTGGAGCAGTTCTGCAGAGGGCCCAAACCTGTGCTGCTGGGTCAACACTCCTCCTCCCTCCAGGCAGCTCTCTCCTCTCACAGGGCCTTGAAGCAAGTAGAGGGAGGGTAGATGAAGCCTCAGGCCATGGCCCGAGGCAGTGCCATTGACTGGGTCAGTATTTGCTCTTTCTCTGCTTGTGTGTGACCTAACTATGCGCTGGGAAGTGAAATACATGTAATTAATTCTGCCAACAGATTTTATTGTTCTAAGTATGGACTTGGTATGACAATAATAGCTGTGTGCTACTTTTAATAATTTGCCATGTAACTTGGATTCCTAATACCTGGACTGTAAATTTGCTTTTAGTGCCAGTGGGAGTTTTCAGAGTATAATTTAAACGTTCTAATCTTTTCTCCACTCCTGCACTAATCATTTAAATGGATGCAGAAACATTGAAATCAAGTTTATCTTGGTGTGAAGTAAGCAATTGAGACTTTTCTGTCTAATCATGCTACTTGTTCTACTGCTTTTGTCAATCGGTATTCCCATAGCCCTTTTGCAAAAGTGTGTTTGTGGTAGAAATGAAGTTGTATGCCCTCAGTAGGTACAACTTAGTGTTTTTTTTTTGTTTGTTTGTTTGTTTTTATTTTAAATTTCTGAAGCATGTTCAGATTTTCTGTACTTGTATAGGCCTGATATTCATGTGGCTTAGTAGCTAAGGTTTCCTAAGACATCTTCTAGTAGCTGTCACTGGTTTCTAAAATAAAATTTGGGCTGTTTAAAATGAATATATTTTTTGGTTGTTAATCTTAATTTTCTTTTTCTTTGACACTTTTTAGGGGAAAAATTAGATAGGCAGACTTTTTGAAAAATATTTTCACTGCTAGGTGTAGGTAATGCATATGGTGAAGGTGTAGGCAAACTCGGGAAGGAACTTTCTACTGCTAGGAAAGTAGATAGATGAGATGAGTTGATCTTGCGCCTTGTGGTTTTACTGGAGCTATCAGACTAAGCCCCAGTCATACACTAATAGAAAAAGGCGGTTTTCTAAGCCTTACTGAGGAGTTGTCTAATGGACCCAGTTGCTGTTATCCCATTTCCCTCCCCTGGCACCTCACCTTCCACCCCCATGGAGGATAGCAGTTGAAACAACAGAGGTAACTGAATTTAAAGGCTTGCTTAGTCTGACACTTCTGTCCTGGGGCTCCTACAGTAGCACAAAGGGCTTTGGGGTGGGCTTTGTTGGATTCTTTCTGTGATTTCAAACAATAAAAGGAATCCTGAATTTAATTACTCCAGTAGCCCAGGTTCATTGCCAAACACCAGCATTTTGGCAGTATGATATACCTTACGGCCATTTGTGTTATGGCACGAGTATGAAAACGTTGCAGGTAGAGTATGAGACCTTTTAGTAGATATTACAGACTGAGATTAGGGAAAAAAGGTATAGCTCTTTTCCTCAAAGAGTTTATAGTGTTGGTGTGTAACTTTAAAAATGCCAACAACTGGGGGGTAATGGAGTTTTAAACTTGATGGCAATGAGATTTAAGTGACAAGACCACCTGGATTTCTCCCCTGGCTTTGGAGAGGTGAATAACCATCAACAGCTCAGCCTTGGATTTCTAAGTAAGGGGTAGGACTTTGAAGCATTGCCTTTTTTTTTTTTTAATTCAATGAATATTATTTACCAGGTACTGTGTTAATAAGCTTACTAGAAAGATGAAAGCACACTGTCAATAGGATGCAGTTGATTGTGCAGTGCTCTCTATAAAAATAGCCCAAGATGTTTCTTTCCTTTTTTTTAAAATTTCCTCTAAAATAAACCTATATGAGTTGGGAAAGAAGTACAATCCCCTTTTGAAGCTGTTGAGTTTGAGATGTTCAGTGGTTAGAAATTGGTGAATCTTTCTTTAGGCTTAGGAGAAATGTCTGCTCCTGTGGCATAGATATGGGAAACACTGGTGCCTATTGGGTAAACTCAGGGATTGAGGATACCACACTGAGTGACACCAGCCTGTCTGGGGCAGAAGAGAAGCCTAAGAGGTGGTTGGGAGAGGAGCTGACAGGCTGGAGATCAGGAAGGAGTGGAGAGTTTGGAGAAGGAGGGAAGAGGAGCCAGCAAGAAACTAAAAGAGGTAGAACCAAGAAAGAAGCCTTGGGAAAAGCTGGCTGGAGAAGTTAGCAAGTGAGCCTCAGCAGTAGGGAGTAAATACAGGAGGAAAGACCCTATTGTAGAACTACAGCTCATCTGATACTGGTCGTGTGTGATTCAGTGTTAGGGTGGAGGCAAAGAGGGCAGGAAGGGAGAATAATGGTTCAGATGGAGCTTCAGAGGCAGGCCAGCTGACTCTAGACCCTGGAGCCAAGGAAGGGGCAGTATAACAACAAACAGATACAGATTCCACTTGTACACAAGATCACTTAACCTTTTAAAGTTGTTTTTTTCATCTGCAGAATGGAGATAATATAGATGATATAGGGTACCCAACACAGGAATTACATCAACATAGTGCTTTTATTTAAAATACATATTTTTAAAGTTCATTTATTTCTTTAGACAGTACCCTACCCCAACAGGGTCCTGATGATGTGATCCGTTCCCAGCTTCAGCCAGCCGCAGGTCATGGCCATGCTTGTACTCAGCGTATCATGGAGGTCTCTGGGTGAAAGTGGGGCCCCGGGGCCCCTTCCCATGTGGGTCAGTCTCTCAGAGCATTGCTTTTTATTGCTGTGCCATTGTCCAGCCCCCTTCATTTTATGTTTTTACTAGGTTGCTAGCCTTTGCGATGTGTAGAGCTAGCTGGCAGGGACACCATCATTTCTGACCGCTAGTGGGAAGGGGGGGAGGCTGCATCTTCCACAGGGAGAGTAGTGAGGGGGGACAGGTTGGATTCGTGCACAAAGAAGTGTGTGTGAGGGTTTCTAGAGCAGGGAGTGTAGAGCAGAGTAGGAGGGAGGTGCGTGCTAGCGGTGATCGTCAGCATATGGGAGGGTGTTTAGGCTATTATTCACAATTTTGTGGAGTGAGAACAGTGACAAAAGACAGTTTAACAAATTCATTGTGGTAGGAGGCAGGTAATATTTTCTAACTTAACATTCAAATGTAAGCCACGTATTTCGAGTTCAGAATTAGAAAGGATGAACCCCTATCACAAACATCTGAGCTTAAAGTCTTGTTCTTTGCAAACATTTATACTAGACCAGGTGTAAATTTGATCAAGCAATAAACAACAAAAACTCACTCAGCGTATCATGGAGGTCTCTGGGTGAAAGTGGGGCCCCGGGGCCCCTTCCCATGTGGGTCAGTCTCTCAGAGCATTGCTTTTTATTGCTGTGCCATTGTCCAGCCCCCTTCATTTTATGTTTTTACTAGGTTGCTAGCCTTTGCGATGTGTAGAGCTAGCTGGCAGGGACACCATCATTTCTGACCGCTAGTGGGAAGGGGGGGAGGCTGCATCTTCCACAGGGAGAGTAGTGAGGGGGGACAGGTTGGATTCGTGCACAAAGAAGTGTGTGTGAGGGTTTCTAGAGCAGGGAGTGTAGAGCAGAGTAGGAGGGAGGTGCGTGCTAGCGGTGATCGTCAGCATATGGGAGGGTGTTTAGGCTATTATTCACAATTTTGTGGAGTGAGAACAGTGACAAAAGACAGTTTAACAAATTCATTGTGGTAGGAGGCAGGTAATATTTTCTAACTTAACATTCAAATGTAAGCCACGTATTTCGAGTTCAGAATTAGAAAGGATGAACCCCTATCACAAACATCTGAGCTTAAAGTCTTGTTCTTTGCAAACATTTATACTAGACCAGGTGTAAATTTGATCAAGCAATAAACAACAAAAACTCCAGGCAAGGCTAGAATAGTGTAAGAGGAAATTCATAAGGTAGAAAATCCACTGTCTGTGGTGGTAGGATTTAATTCAACTGTGTGGTTTATGTTTCCTTCCTGACTTGTGCTTTTTACAGGTTTATCCTCAACATATAAGAGTGAAATGTCAGTTTGGCTCCTTAACTATTCCAAGAGTGAGGAATGAGGTCCAGTGATAAGAGCTGGGATTTTCTGTATTTAATAAAGCCCAGAAAGCAAAACAGAATTCTTGATACCACCCCTGCCCTCTGCCCTTTTCTAAAGGATTAGGAACAATTTAGATACACTCCATCCTAGGGGTATCTGCCACATACAGTCCACACCACGAGTGACCATATAGCCGATTTGTCCAGGGCAGACCCACGTCATACCTGATGTCCTGGCCTAATTTTTAATAGTGATCCTTTTTGGGCTCAACAGGATACTGTTTTGGATGATAAATAAATGTCACTTTATCCAAAGGGGATGTTGGAGCAAGCCTACACAGGCCTGGAGATGATTTCCTGCACCTGGTGCCCTCCTCCCCCCCCCCCCATGACACACATGCATCAGTGGGTTCCACTGGAGTGGTGACTTGGGCTAGCTAACATGACTTCTTGTTCAAAGCAAGCACCTTTTCTCTGTAAATTGTATATGGTACCTACAGTAGATGGGAGAATTTCACGATATATTTGTACACCTAACATAGTAAGCTTTGAGTAATTAGTTGTTAACATACAATATTGTCAGTATTGGTAGTATTGCCAATAAAACATCCATCAAAGCCAGGTGTTTTTGTTTTTCTTGAATAAAAATTGTTCGCTAGGGACTCTTTACAGGGATAATAGGCAGACATCCTTTGACTCTATGACAACGTGGAAAGTAAAGTGGGTTGCTTTCGAAAGGGTTAAATAATTGAGCAACTCTAAAACCTTTTTTCTTCTTCCTAGGTCTTAGTGGTGCAATGGCTAGTATAAGCGTGCGTTCGAGTACCCCAGGCTCTCCTACACATGTAAGCAGTGGATCGAATGCTAGTCGAAGGAGAAATGGACTCCATGATGTCGATTTGAACACTTTCATATCAGAAGAAATGGCACTCCACTTGGACAATGGTGGAACTAGAAAGCGTACCTCAGCCCAGTGTGGCGATGTCATTACAGACTCACCAACCCATAAACGCAACAGAATGATCTAAACTGCAAACATTTTCACACCCACCATGCTGCTTGAAAGCCACTTGATCCTCAACATATACTATTATTGCAAAGGAAACATGAGGCCATCTTCCCTTGTTCACTGTTTAAAGACAAGTGAATTCTCTAGTGGTTGCCATAAAAGGAAGTTTCTAGGTATTTACAGTAGATGCCTCTTGTAACTATGGCTTTCTTAAAACTATAATCCTAGCAGAGGACATCAGATATTGTGTAGTTGTTAGCAAGATCATCATAGGCCAACATATATCCGTTCCAAGGCTAAAAGTGACCTTAACTGTATTTATTCTCAAAGGGAAAGGAAATATCAGATGTTTATTTGGTTAAATGCCTTTTTTTTTTTGTCCACTTCCTGCTGTGTTGAGTATTTTGCTTCAACAGTATTGTCAGGTTCCAATAATTGTTTGAAGACATGATTCGGCTTCCATTTTTGCAGCAGTACTGTACCACGCACCTGATTTCTCCATAGGAACAGCGTGCAGCTTCTAATGGACTGTGCCCTGTTTTCAGTTTTCAAAGCAGTTTCTAATTCTGGTGATTGTGTGATGTACAGAGGTGCTATGATGGTCATGCAGTTAATGCTTAATACTAAATCAATACACAGAACCTTATTGGATTCACTTTGTGTGTGTTAGTGCTCTAAAAGTAGCAATATTATTAAACTGCCCCCAGATTAACCCTGTAGGTTTAACATACTCAGTTTTAAGACAAGTGCTACTTCCTTTGGGGATGCTTTCCTAATGGTAAATGTAAAACATGTAGACTGCATTCCAGGTGACTCAAAGTAGTGAGGTCATGAACTTTGAGAATGGGCTTCCTTTGGGTTCAGTGTTAGGGAGATGGTTGGTGGGGGTAGGTATTCTAGTCTTTCATATCCTGTTCCACATTTTTCATGGATGCTCTATTTTGTGCAGTTATCATTGGGGAGGGGGAGAAGATGATAAAATTTGATAATTCATTTTATATTATGTGAGACTGAAGACTGTCTTCATATCTGGGGTCTTACAGGCCAAATCACATTTGTCATAAATGCATTAAATTCAGAAATTTCAAACTGAGCTTAAACATCAAAACTCATGTTCCTAAAGAATTTACTTCTTTTTTTTTTAAAAAAAAAAAAAAAAACCTTACAAATCAATGTGAGTTTTTTTTTTTTTTTTTAAGTAATTACAGCACTTTGTTAAATTTTGCAATTTCTTCAGCCACTTAGTAATACCTTTTTTGTGAAGAAACTTTGCTAAGTTAACCATAATACTCATTGGCTGGGTGGGATGTGAATGGAATGTTAGAAATGTTGTGTGAACTGAAGTTCTGTATTCATTATAGATGTAGCCTTTATTTAAAAGAAAAATGGATTCCATGCTAAAACTAGGAATGAAAGTGAGATATTTCTAATTTTTTTTCAAAATTGGACAGTTTTTGGTTTGAATATAATAGAATTAACAGCAATCTGTCATTTTATCTGAAAAGGACAAGCCTATGTATTATGAGTACTTTCAAGCTTCCCTTTGGAATACTCCAGGACACGTATTTGGAGTTATCTTTGTTTTTCTATTGTTGTAAAATTTAGATTCTGGAATTGGGGCTTATGGTGTGATGCATTGCTCACGAGTGGCCAGAACTCCTATTCCTAGAGGATCTTGAGATTGAGGAACACTTATTTAATCTCCCCTTTATGCCTTGGTTCTATAGACGTTCCTTTTCCAAGTTGAATAACACTTTTTTTTTTTTTTCCAGTTGTTTTAAGTTGGTGCTCTGAAGCCTAATCTCAGTACCCTTTATTTTCAATTGTCAAATTTTGGTAAACATGTGCCATTTTCTTTGGTAAGAGGAAGCAGGTCTTAATGTCTGCCAGAACACAATTTATATGCCTTATTGGCTCCATTAAACTTTTAAAAAACTTTTAACTTTTGTTACTTTTTTCTACTGCATTTAACACAAATGCTACTTGTCATCTAGTCATAATGATTTTTTTTTCCCTTCTCTCTTCCATTGTTCTCTCATGGACTCCCAAATACAGAAAAACCTTGAGGCCTACAATTAGAAAGGAAAATGATTTAATTTGGTTCGGACATCCTCAGCCTCCAGGCTTAGCCTTACCCCTATGCCACAACATCTGCCTTTTTCAGACCATCTTGCTTGCTATGTTACCTAGGCCAGCCTCCAGCTCGCCATCACCCTGCCTCAGCTCCTTGAGTCACTAGGATTACAGGTGCGTGACAGGTACCCAACCTTTTTAAGTTAGACAGGGAGTTGAACCCAGACCTTCCATGTGGCTCCAGTTTGCAGAGCATGGCATCGTAGAAGCGCACACCACTCAAGCTAGATTTTTGAAGCATTTCTTTGTGCTAGTTTAGATGCAAAACAAATCACAGATGATTGTATACTTGGGTGGCACTTTTAAAAAACTTAACTTTTCAGTCTCATGAGAACAGTGTGGGCTGAATTTTAAAGCCTAACAGTTTAGGTGAACAGAATCCCTCTCTCCATTAATCCAAATTTTCTGATTCTTTTAGACATTGCAGCTCATGTGTTTTTTCTGCTCCTGTTGCCTCAACTTGGCATGAGCAGGTCAAGTACATTCTTACACTGCAGCATTTGGAGCATAACTCAAGTATTGAAAACTTAATTATAATGCTTAGTATTTTATAGAGCAACGTAAATTTGAAAGCAGACCTGCAGTCAAATTCTTCAGTGTGGTTCATCCAACTCAACTGGACTAGCGATATACATCTTAAATCATAGAATGAATAAACCTGAAAAAAAAGATGGGGTTTGCCTGCAATTTTGTTTGGTTTTCACATCTTAGTAACTTTTCGATGTAATGGAAGGTTAGGCTTTTAAAAAGACACTAGCCATCTGATCCCCCCCCCCCCCAACACCACCACCACTAATGGTGATTAGAACTCCCCAAACTTGAGTAACGATGGCTGCCTTTGAGCCTGAAGGCTACCATTCAGCCAGGAAAACTGGGCTGGTTCCCTCTATAATCAGAGGGGATGCCAGTGTTTGACCCCAAGGGTTCATCTACCTGGGAGGGCAGTGAAGATGCAAAATGCCAAGAGAAGATTCTGAAATGGGGCCTTTAGTTGGGAACGTGGGCAACATGGTTAATTTTAGAAAATTGCAAACAGAACTGTTAGACTTTCTGAGAGGTGTATGATGTGGTGACTAGTGTTTTATTTTGATGGTTATCATCTATTAGACTAATGGCTGAGGCATCCAGTGCTGGGGAGGTTGAGTATCTTCAGAGATAGATTCAGGACCCTTGGAATGAAGTGACTTGAAAGGTTCTGCTATAGGAAGCCCTTGTTTATTTTAGTTAAAAGACCTTAATATCTGCTTAATTTAGTTAAAGGAGGTAGGTCTGATGAGATGTTTATAGTCCCTGCCCCTCTTCCTGAAAGCCGTTATAACTTGGGTAGTCAGGATGCCCTTCCCCTAAAGGCTGGCTCTCTGACTGCACGCTGGAATGGTGAGGCTTGATGACTTAGGACAGTATATGAGAGGAGCTGGCCTGAGCCACCTGGTTGGCTTTTGCATGGTGTGTTGTACTGGTGTGTTTGACAACATAAGAGCCAGGGCTTTACCTCCTGTGATGGCGCCTGTGTGCTCTTCCTAGATGGCAGTCCATTACACGAGAGGGTTTTCAGGTTCTGATACAGGTCTTGTGGCCCCTAACCAAATTGGGAAGTGTCACTGATGCTTTATCTCGTTTCCAGTGGCTACTTATTTTTTTGGTACTGCTTTAGAACTTAAAAAAAATACTAAAAACATGCCAAACCCAGCCTCTAGGTAACTTCTAGCATATGCAGCCTTAGTGTATACATCAGAATATATGGGATGAAATCTCTTGTGGCTGAATAGTACTCCTTTGTAGGAATGGACCTTTACACAGGCCCCAGTTTTTCACAATTGGGAATAGTGCTGCAGTGGATGTTCTGGCTTCTCTCTGTTTCTGTACATTTCTACAGATGAAATTGCTGGTTCAAAGGAATTCATATTTAAAATACTGATAGGTACTGTCAGTACCTTTGGGAGGATCCAGTTAATACATCTGAACGTCTCCCCATGTTTTAGTCAGGGTGGGGTACTTAGACTTCTTGGCAGGCAGAAGTAATGCTGTGATTTCAATTTGCGTTCTGCCTTCTCATATAAAGGAGTCTTTTTTTTTTTCCCTTCTTTTTTTGTAGTTTGCTATAGGGCACATGTGCTTGTTGGAAGTGGGGGAGGAAAAAAGTGAGAAATTATTCTCTAGAGGGGCTGGCCACTCTGCAGTCCTTTCTTCATTCTCTCTGGGATTTTGAGCCTGCACGCACACATGCCCAGTGTGATTTTTAAGCCCCTGGGTCCAAAACTGAAACTGCAAAGTCAGCCATGTGGCATCTAGCTGCCCTAACCTCTGTGCCACCTGCTGGCCTGAAGGAAAGTTATTTTGTTTGTTTTTAAACACTGCTCACTACTCTTGGGTTTGAATGTGGATTCCACCACTAGGAGTGGGAATCTGGGTAACTTTGTCTCTCTGGGCTGAGTTTTGCCAAATATGAAATAGGTATAATAGGAAAAAAGTGGGAACCTGTTGACTTGAATTCCTTAGAAGTTGGATACTTTTATAATCCATCAGCAGAGACTTACGGACACTAGAATGTGGCTGATAGTTTATTTCAACATGTTCTTGAAAAACTAACATGTGCATGTCAATGTAGAGGTCCTTCTGACTTGTCCTTTTTCTTCACCCTTTGAATAGGGACCTTCCAACAGTGTTCTGGGTGTTTGTGTATGGAGCTATTAAAATAAAGCTGGTCGGTTGGTGGTTATTTAGGAGTTAGTGTGGAAAATGAAAAGCAGTTCAGTAACATAAATTATTGTGGGAGTTCGGCACATGGACACTGTAGGCTTGAAGGTGAACCGATTTCACCACATCTGGGCAGTTTGAAACGAGGGATAACAAATACAGTGATGTTTGAAGGTGCCGTGATATGGTTTTCAGGGAAGGGCTTGTCCACATGTGAGGTCTTACTTTTCAAAGGAAGTCAGACGCTTACCAGGAGGTGCCAGGCCCACAGGCCAGCAAGTCCAGGCTCTCTGTCTCACTTCATTGAACCTATTCCTCACACCTCTAAGCAATGCAAGAGGCTGTTTGTTAGCTGCTGGTGTGTTAGCTGTGCATTGCGAAGGTGGCAGTGCAGGCCCCTGTGCACACACAGCTGTTGGTGAGGCTGTACCGTCTCTTTGCGTTAAGACTGGTGGGCGTGTTCTCTGAGCTGCTTGGAAGTATTTTAGGGTTCTTAACATGGAACTGCCTTTAGAGCTTCAGGAGTTCTAGTTTATCAGCAATGAAGGACTTGCAGACTCAGAGTGGAATTTTGGAGACTGACTTGGGAAGGAAGGGTTTTGGAGTTTCTGGCAGGCAGCCACCTCTGGTTTCCCTGGGTGCAGTGGCCTCAGCGGTATTTGCTTGTGGATTCAGAATCCCAACATCTTCCATAAATCCACCAAGGTGTGTGCCACTAACTGAGCTTCGAGGGAAGATTCTCAGCCCAGTGGGATCTGTTTTTCGGGGGTGGTGGACCTAGGCTGGAGTTCTCTGGGGGGCAGGGGAACAGCTGTA